GTACTTCTAGCAGTTTAGTCACAGTAGCCTGGAACTTAGTGTAGGCTTCAGAATTGCCTGAGAAACAGGGTTAATATTTGAGCAGTTAGCTTGTGGTGTTTTCCATGCTATCACAGCTGCATTCTGAGTAGTACCAAAGCTAGCGCAGTCATATGAGCTACAGTTACTAGTGTCATTGCAGTGTAGGTTTCTGTAAGCCATGTCTATTCTGCTTCCTTTCTGAGCCTATGGCTACTGTTGAGAAACAAGCCTTGCTTACTCTGCATGTTCATAGATTTTCATAGATTTCATAGACATTAGGGCTGGAAGGGACCTTGGAAGATCATTGAGTCCAGCCCCCTGCCCAAAGGGCAGGAAGTCAGCTGGGGTCATAGGATCGCAGCAAGATAAGCATCCAGTTTGCTCTTGAAGGTGTTCAATGTAGGCACTTGAACCACCTCCGGTGGCAGGCTGTTCCAGACCTTGGGGGCTCGGACAGTAAAGAAATTCTTTCTTATGTCCAGCCTGAAACGGTCTTGTAGTAGTTTATGACCGTTCGACCTAGTCGTCATCCCTTGGGGCGCTCTGGTGAACAAACGTTCCCCCAGATACTGGTGGTCACCCCTGATAAACTTATAGGTGGCCATCAGATCACCCCTGAGCCTGCGCTTTTCCAGGCTAAAGAGCCCCATGGCTCTCAGCCTGTCATCGTAGGGTCTGCTTCCCTGACCTCTGATCATGTGTGTGGCTCTTCTCTGCACCCTCTCAAGCTTCTCCACATCCTTTTTGAATTGTGGAGCCCAAAACTGGATGCAGTACTCCAGCTGCGGCCTCACCAAGGCCGAGTACAAGGGGAGAATAACGTCCCAGGATTTGCTTGAGAAGCATCTATGGAGGCAAGCATCTACGGATGTGCTGAAGCATAGCCAGCAGGCAGCACGCACAGTTTAGAGATGTTCTGAATGCATGCCCCATTAATAGTGCCAGAGTCCATGCTCTGGATTGACCTATGGACAGTGGTTGCCCATTGCTAGCTCTGGGCACACAGAGAGTAGGAGTGGGTAGCAGGCCTTATTTCATTGATGGTGCTCCTAAACTCAGGTAAGAAGCAATATAAATATGGCCTAAGTTACTCTTGAGGCTCTTCCAGCCTTTCAAAACAGCCCAGGGAATGGAGAATGTAAAGCCTGCAAACATCATTCCCTCCCCCTCTGTCACCCCTCAACACATATAGGGTTGTTAGTTCTGTATGGTAGTATTTGGACTCACATCACAGAATTTGACAATGGGTACCCATCAGCATTTCTCTTTCTTTTAAACAGTACATTATAGACTAAAACTGATATCGCTTCAGTGATTTGTGTTAGAATCAGAGCAGCTGTACTGAACAGCTAATACAGGGTTTTTTTCTTGAGCAAGGCTGTCACTGAATACATGAATGCCTCTGGCAAATGGGAAAAGTGGAGCCAAATGCCTTTTGCCTCCTTCTCATCTTTCTCTCCACTCAAAAATGGGTTTTAGTTGACTTAACTTGTACATGTCTAATTTTCTCTAAATCCTAAATTTCACAGAAGAATGTAACTCTTTATTAGGAGATGAACAATAATGATGAGGTGAAATACGTTAGTTGAATACTTTTGCCTTTGACAATGACACAGACACAGTGTTGGTCTTTCTGCATTGACAAATGGAATGCACCAGCTGGCAGTGCTACTAGGAGCTGAAAAATACACATAAAGTGTGTAAAGGTAAGGCTGGCCTCAATAGCCAGTCAGCAAGTATTTCTATGCAAATACATTAAACAATACCATAGCATATAATAGACCACTGTGAAGGTCGAGGATTCCTGTCCTTCATTGACTTGCAGGTGCACAAATATTTTTCTAAATAGTGCCAGCGGATAACCTGGGATTGACAAGGATTTCCTCTCAGATACACACCAGAAAAATATGCCTAACCATTCTGACTGTATAGCAGATCTCCTTGTAAATAATTTGCAGATCTATTTTCTTTAATTATATGGGAGTGAAAAACTGTTAAGCCTCTACATTTTCTGAAAATGTTGGCATTCTTTGGGAAACTACTCTAACATTATCCTTCTGTCAAAAGATTTATATCTTTTTGGGGGACATATACGGCCAAGCATCTCATGAAGTATGATGAAAATAAATATTTAGTATGATTTTGCCCTATCTACTGTAATAATTCATAATGCTGTCTGCAAAGTGATAGCGTCATATTTAGAACAAATGAAATCCCTCTCGGGCATCTTTCTGCTCTGGATGAGCTAGAGACTAAAATGGTTATACCCTGCATAAATCAGGAAAACCAGAACAATATTTTTATTTATGATGGCTGGTACAGTTTGTGAGCCTCAGATCCCCAGAGAACAATGTGGATGAGTTGAATTCTCACTGGGTGTGTCTCCACTTGCATTAATGCACTGTTACTACTGCGCATTAAGTTTAGTACCTGTAATAACAGGTAATAACTAAATATGCAGTAGCTGACTCTGATGTGCAGTAGAGCTGGTGCATGGTCTTTTGGTGATGCTTAATGCACATTAGACTAATGCTTTTGCCATGACATACTAATGCATGGTAGAAGTAGTCTACTGCACGCCTAGTGTCTTGTGTAGATGTGCCAAAGGAAGACATACTTGGGTTTAATATGGTGGGGTTAGCAAACTTTTTGTGTTTTTTTTTTTTGTCCTTGAAGAACTCTTTTCACTAAAAAGAATCTAACAATACAAGGATGAAACAAAACAATTGTAGATGTCGTATTGTGTTACCATGAAAATCAGTTGGAAATCAGACATTAAAGATATTCAGGGTCTTCTTACATTTGAGTAAATATGGTACGTGCTCTTCCTAAATAGCAGAGCTGTCCAACTTGTAAGCACTAGGGACTGCATGTCCCCTGGGCTACACCTCTGTGATCCATGGGCCCTCTGGGCTGCACACCATGCCCCAGTCACCCCGTGCCTTGTTGTAGCACTCATGGGGAGCCCTGGCCTCAACCTTAGCTACCCAACCACAGGCTCTCCTGCTGCACTGCATGGGTGTCTCAGGCTGTCTCAGGCTGTGGATTCCCCCTGCCACAAGCTCCCCTGACATCCTGGGCTGTGCTGCCTCTCTCCTGGCATGGGGACAGGAGGTGAAAGCCAGAGGAGGGAGGGAGAGCTCTGAGTCCCCAGCTGCCATTGCAGCCAGAGTGATGTAGGAAGTAACAGCTTGGTGGGATCCCAGGAGCTACAAACTGCCTCTCCAGGGCTGCATGCAGCTCACAAATCAGCAGTTGAACAGCCTAGCTAAAGAGGATGAACCAACATAACATATCTGTTTGAAATATTTATCCACATTTCATTTATGAAACTCTTGCTTCTTCTGATGTGAGATCCAGTTTTAACTGTCATAGCCATTTGGGGTTATTGCTGTATTCAGATCTTAAAAACAGTTGTATTGTTTAATTACAACTGTAATATACTGCAGGCCTGGAACAAATAAGCAAACCTTCTCTTTTTTCTTAAATGGTTTTTAGAGAAAACCTAGTTTCGTACATAGCTATTAAATTAATCTTTTAGTTAAAAAACCCCAGAAGATCACAGCTGTTCCTCAGATTCTATAAGTGCCACTTCTCAAATAACTCCACAGATAAAAGGTAATGGTCATCTGCAGGACAGGTTGTGTATGTACAGTAAAAGCTCCGTTAACCAGCATCTTACAAGCGGGCTTGTCCTATTAACCGGCATGCCGGCTTGTAAGGTAAAGTGGCACTTCCAGTTTCTCCAAGCCCCCCCCAGTCTGGGGCACAGCAGGCTGTGCAGGGCCCGCCTACCTGCCCCTCAGGGCCCACAGGGCCTGCAGGAGGGTTGGCGATGCAGTGGGAGGGTTGGCGATGCTGTGGGAGGGGTGGCAATGCCCCAGATGCAGCAGGAGAAGCAGCGGCCTGAACAGGCAAAGACGCCTGTTTGGGCTTCTCAATTAACCAGCATATTATCCCATGGGAGCCAGATGACAAAGCTTTTACTGTAATATCTACCAACTAGAATATTCAATTAATTTGAATTGTTGAAATATAATAAATATATTTTACTCTCTTTGTAGATCTATAACAATCATTCCATAGATCAGGGGTTACAGCACTGGCTGGCCCATCAGCAACAATACTGAGCAACGTACTGTAGGCAACATGGCTCTTGCTGTCAACTTCAGTTGAAACCTTTTAATGTCCTGTGTCTATAAGCAATATTGCAGAGCCTCACAGTTAGTCTCCTCCCTGGATGAGATACTAGCGTAGACAATGCATTAGCTAATATTGAGAAAATTATTCCAAACATATCAAGATTTCATAGATTTCGTAGATTGTTAAGGTCAGAAGGGACCTTAGTAGATCATCGAGTCCGACCCCCTGCCCTGGGCAGAAAAGAGCACTGGGGTCAGATGACCCTAGCTAGGTGTTTGTCTAGTCTCTTAAAGACCTCCAAGGTCGGGGAGAGCACCACCTCCCTTGGAAACCCATTCCAGATTTTGACAGCCCCTACCATAAAGAAATGTTTCTTAATGTCTGCTCTCTGTCAGTTTATGGCCATTTTTCCTGGTAACCCAAAGGGGCGCCCTGGTAAACAGAGTGTCCCCTATTCCTTGTTTCCCTCATCTGCCCCCGGATGAATTTGTAGATGGCCACAAGATCCCCTCTCAGCCTCCTTTTTGCGGAGGCTGAAGAAATTCAGGTCCCTCAATCTCTCCTCATAGGATCATACCTGCAGGCCCTTAACCATACAGGTAGCTCTCCTCTGGACCTTCTCAAGGTTATCCACATCCCTTTTGAAGTACAGTGCCCAGAACTGGATGCAGTCCAGCTGTGGTCTTACCAATGCTTAATAAAACTTAAGCTAAACATAGTAAGTGTAAGACCTTTTTCATTCTGCCACTGCTGCTACGATTAATTTAATCAGTATTTAGGAAAAATATGTACTTGTTAGGCCTCCCCCAGACAGCCATGATTCATGTGCTACCTACCTTGTAAATCCAGAGTTACCATTGCTGTGTCATCCTCTAAGCCTTCAATCACCTCACATTTATATTTCCCATAATCCTCCAGTGTTAGAGCTGTGATTACAAGAGAAGCATCATTTGAACTGCCTTCTTTCAGAAACACTCTGTCCTGGTAGTTTCCATAACTCTTCCTGTGGTGTCCCATAGCAACAAAGACATCCACTTCTTTGAGGTAATCTGAGGTGAGTTTGGTCCACTTGACCCGGATTCTGTGGGTTCCTGAGCCAGCTGATATACTTTCACGGTAAAATTTACATGGCAGTGTAACGTTGCCACCTCTGTGTGAGAAGACTTTACTTTGTTCTGCTACCACAGATAGACGGGGGCCATCATCTTCTAGGATGTGAGAAAAAAAAATTAGTCTTCACTATCTTCATTTTAAAAATGAGATACATGATAGATGCTGTAGTAAACATTAACCATGTGATACGGTAGATCTGCATGCTGTGTCCACTCACAGCCAAGTTATACTAATCAGAACAGTGGATATTGTACCCGTTCTGTTCTAATGTTGGATAAGGAACGCATGGGTATCTAACAGATATTAATGAAACATCAGGAGGCGCTACTTCACGGTCAGGGCGGCTAGGGTCTGGAACCAGCTTCCAAGTGAGGTGGTGCAGGCTCCCACCCTGGGGGTTTTTAAGAGGAGGTTAGATGACCATCTTGCTGGGTTCGTTTGACCCCCAGTATTCTTTCCTGCCATGGCAGGGGGTCGGACTAGATGATCTGCCCAGGTCCCTTCCGACCCTAGAAACTATGAAACTATGAAACCCTGTGCCTTGAACTGAGACAGTGTTTCAAATGCAGTCCTTACTTCCCTGGGGACTAAGCAGTTACTAATACACAGTTAATAATACATTGATTTCATTGGACCCTGTTTATGAAAGGGCAGCTTGTGACCCATCAGTGGAAAGGAGAAAGCAACTGCAAGGTACTTCTTCACAGGTAACAACTGAAGAGTTAGCTGCTACTTGCACAGGAAGGACTGATGTGTAAAGCAGTGGTCTCCAACCTTTTTAAGTAGGAGATCACCTTTGGCATTTAAAAGCAACCCAAGATCTACTGCACGCCCCTGCCACCCCCCCCCCGCCCAGCAGGTATGTCTGTGGGGAGTGGGGGGAGGGGGGCACAGATTGAGGCAGAGGGAGAAAAAATTATTTTGGGGCATGCCTCCCCAGCAGGTAAGTCCTACCCGGCTGGGGCCGCACTCAACTTACCCCTATTCCTGCAGCACTGTCCCTCACTGTGGGAGCCTCAATCTAGCCCCCGGCCCTTCCCTCCCCCATGGACTGACCTGCTGGGCTGGAGCATGTGCATGCATCCACACGGCCACTCAGCCCCCCACCCCAGCCTCAGGTCGACTCCAAGAGGCTCCGAGATCTACCGCAAGAGGTGGATCGAGATTCAGTGGTTGGTGACCACTTTCACTGCCACAATGTGGGCACATCTACACAGACATTTATTTCAGAGTTGCCTGATTAGCTGTATCCATATATGGCTATTAGGCTGGAGTAAACTAATTAACTCCACTGGAGGATAGTACTTATAAATAAAATACTGCTTTGCTGTGGAGTTTTTTAATTCAACAGTGCTGCATGTGTAGATGCTGGCAGGCCTGGCTGGGGCACAAAGGTGCTTCAGTGTGAGAGCTATCTGATGACTAGCTCTGCACTGAAGCTCCCTTATGCCCCAGCAAGCCCCTCTGCAGCACACTGAGTGTGGGGAGCAGCCCCAGCTGGCAGACTGACTGCCAGACTCCCCTGCCAGCCAGGACTGCTCCAACCCAGCTCAACATGCTATGGTCCTGGGTGCATGTGTAAACATGGCTCCTGGGATCAATAAACTTTGGCGTCATATGCAATGGAGTTTATTGCATCACATTAATATGCACGTGTAGATGTGCCCTGTAACAATCAGCACAATGAAGTCAGCACAACAGGGGAAGTAACTTGGACCAGGTAGAGCACTGATTGGTAACTTTTATGAAGTGAGGGCCATTTTAGTGGAGCTTAGCTCTAAGTGCAGACTGCTTCTAACTCAGTTCATGCCACCAGAGCTGGAAACGCAGTCACTGCTCACCCCACAATGCTGCTGCCGTTTTCCTGCCTTAAGGGTGAAAGTCCCCATTGCAGAAATTTCACCAAAGTCCCTCACTGATAAATGCCACAGAACCCTCCCAGCCCTGCAAACCAGATAAAATGTTTCAGTGAGCCAGATCTGGCCTGCAGGCCATAGGTTGCTGACCCCCGAGGTAGAGGGGTCTGATTACTGATAGCTGTCCTCTAGAGCCAGAGGGAAAGAAGAGTGTATTTAGCAAGATAGAGGATAATGAATTCTTTTCTTTGATCATCAGCATGGAGCTGATCTCCTATGATCACCAAGATTGAGCTTCTTTATGCTGTACAAATCAAAGGCCCCTGTACCAGTGTAATCTGGTAACCAGTGCAATATACATTTTTCCCAATGCACTCAGTGTTGCTCTATTATTAATTCTGAAGTAAAACCTGGAAAATTATCCAAAAAGTTTAATGCTGTGGGAGCCAGATTATAAGGCCTTTACTCACCCTGATGAGCACTTACTCCAGTGAGTAGTCCAATTGAAAACCACAGGTTTTGCCTGAAGTCCCTGCTTTCAAGCTGTTCCAGAGCCTGCTGCTGTTCACTCTTCCACTTTCTCCGCTTTCCTCCCCGGTTCCCCCAAAATTCAGTAGCAGAAGAAAGAATGGGACGAGCTGTGGCAGTGCTCAGCTCCTGCTTTCATGAAGCTCTCCAGGCTCCATGCTGTGGCCACTCATACTTTTTTTCCTTTCCCCTGTTGCTGAATGGGAGGGGTGGGGGGCAAATAGCAGTGAGTTTTGGACCTATTGAAAGCAGGAACTCAGGGCAGACCCTGCAACAACCAGCCAGGGAACACATGGAATTCACCACATACGCAGAACTCTAAGACCTCGCTGACATCCATGATCACAAGAAAGGGTTTCAGCCACACTCCCTTTGGCTGTGTGTCACAAGCACAATGACCTCTCTTCACTGTGCATGGGCCACGCAGCTGAAGCAGGTATAGCTGCTGCTCCTCTGTCCCCATGGTCCTGGATCTGCCCACACCGACAGGGTACAATGCATTTATTCAGTTGATGTTTATATTGGCCCAAATTAAAGTACTAAAATGCCAGTATTTTATAATAATATGGTAGAAGCCAAAATGTGAAAGTGTGTCCAAATTTCTGCTCATGTTTTGACCTAGTTGTTGATTTTGGGTTATATTCAAAGAACATAAGTCCGCCAAAATGTATCTGAATTTTTGTTACCACTTCCTGTAACTATCTGAATTTTTTTCACTTGCCTTCCTCAAGCATCTTCCTCTTTGTAACACATGAAGACCTCTTCACCCTTGAGACTTTGGTCTATTGTCTCAGATGAACAAACACCTGGGTCAGCAACTCCTTTATCCTCAATGTTTCTACCCTAGATCCCTTGATTCAAGTTCCCTTTTGTCTCTATCAAGGCATTATGGTTGATATTCTACCAAATCATGAAATCTACTGTAAATTGAACCAGTTGCTCTTTTCAGTTATTTTGTCTCTGGGGCTTCTTTGTTCCCAATGTGCATCTTAATATACCTTGGGAAAATCCCAGGTTTTGGCAGTAACAGTTGGCCCAGTCAGCAAGCAGTTAAAATAACTTCCTTAATCACTCCCTCCTACTGCCATGCATAGCTTGCAAAAACTGACATAGCAAGCTCAGCTCTTGTGAAGATGGTTGCACATACTGCCATCTTTTACCATTAGAGACCTAGACTAATACTATGCAATGAATCACAAGGATCCACTTACTACAAGAAAATTACTAACTTCACTATACATATAGGTCAAGAAAACAGACTTAGCAGTTCCATCCTTGTGGTCTGTATCTGAACTAAACTGCATCTCAAATATGGCACAAAATCTTGCTCCCATTAGCTTCTTATATAAGTGCAGAATCAATCGCGCTCTCTCTCTCTCTCACTCTCTCATACACACATGTATACACAACCATACACCAGCACATGTGCACATAGAAAGTATCTACACATTCACTAATGAGCTTTAGGTAATATGCATTAAATCTAGTACCCCCATTGTTAGGTACTAGAAAAAAGTACATTAGCCTATTTTAAAGCAAATTAGCTAAAGAGCACAGTTGTTGGTGATACTATAATGTGCATTAAATTAGGCTAATTCCCACTGAAGTTCATGTGTAGATGTACTGAGTCTGTAGAACCTTATCCATAGCCCATTGAAGTCAGATTTCTGTTGACCTTAGCTTTGGTTTGGGCCTTTAGAAACAAAAACCTAGAAATGCAGGTGAAAATATGGTCAGTAAGAGGATTTTGAAAAGGGAACAGGAAAAGAGTAGGATGGGACCCTGTAAGGCAGGCTCAAATAAACTTCCAAATGAATACATCTTGTATTGTTCCACATATCAGCCATCTACAGCTATAGCTTGTTTTGTGCCTCCCATTGCTTTGACTGCAGTAGCTGATTAGGCACTCAGTGGCTTGTACATTTCTGTATACAGCCCCAGGCTTTTGAATGTTGGAAAACTTGCTGGATAAATGATGCATGCATTCCCCAATAATAGGAAACATAAGCTTGACTTTTCTATACATTTCACATTGGGTACATGACACAGCAAGATTTAAACTCCTCAGGAAATGCTGCATTTATAATCAAAGCATTACTTCCCATTTGGAAGTTGTAATCACAAAGGCAATCTCATGTAGAAAATGTGTACGTATTTAAAGATAAAAGAAAAAGTACCCCACATAATTTAGTTTTTAGCCAGGAAGGAAAGTACGAAGAAAATTACTTCTGTATATGTGGAAGCATTGTACCCAGGGTTTGCAATCTGTTGTAACACAAGTCTGGCTATGGGGAGAAGCTCAAGCCCTCCAGTGCATTTCATCTTTGCTTGAGGGAAAAATTCCTCTGATTGGCTGCCATACTTACTTCCAGGCCTCCTGGGGAAAAGCAGCAAGACAGGGCTGTTGTAGGGGGCAGACTGAGCTGTTCCTGTCTCCTCTAAGGAGAGAGGGGTTTGGGGAAATGAGAAGAACCCTATTTTCATAGGTGGGCAGGAGGAAGGAAAGAGAAAAACAAGCTCAAGACAGCTGAAGTCCTTTTCCATCTGAATGAAAAATGAATGAGTCTACTGCTCCCTATTCTCCTGTGTATCCTAGTAACACTAAGCCTATAAAGGTGAAATGCGATGCCCATTTTATCTGGGCCTGGAGGCAAGAGGACACTGCTGCACATGCTCTCCACTGCCAAACCTGGGAGAAGAAAGGGAAGAGC